CCTAATATCATTTGTTAATAAGGCTGCTCAGGGCCTGGGGGCTTAAAAGCTTGCCAGCAGTCATCCAAGCCCCAGTAATTGAGTGAGCTCTAGTCACCTGAAGCACCAGAGGAAGGAGGAGAGAAAGGGACAGAAGGAGGGTGTGGAGCTGCCTCCTTTACAAGGGCCCAGAAGAACTGGACGGTGCCCAGCTATGATTTCTGGACATTTTCGTCCAGTTTCTATAGAAGAATCCTGGTCAACAGGAGAGAGATGTGGAATGGAATTTCAAAATATCCGACACTGCAGATTTTCTGGAACCATAGAGGGTAGGTGAACCCCTGAACCCAGGGTTTCAAACTGCTTCAGTCATTGCCCATCGTGAGCACCAGCCATGGGTACATTGCACATCAACCGACTCTGCTGCCCATGGTATTTTGATTCAAGTAGGACACCGACTTGGGTAGAATTCTCTAGAGATGCAAACCCAACAGTGCTTCTACAGGGCAGAGAGAGAGGTTTACATCAAGGAAATGGTTCACACGTTGGAGAAGGGAGCAGTCCCAGGCTGGGCAGGTTCCAAGTCCATGGGTCTGGTCTTTGGGTGGAACATCTCCTGACTCAGGTCGCAGTGGCAGTTGCTGAGTCCAAGAACAGCAGGAAGAAACCCGGTTTGTGGTTGCAGAAGCCGAGGAATCCAAGGTCAGGTGACTGTTCAAAGACGAGGCCCAGAGTTGGCAGGCAACATGGCAGGCATCTGACTCATGTCCGAAGAACCAGAGACCAGGGAGAGTCAGACGCAGGATCCAGACTCGGCAAAGAAAACAAGCAAGAGTTTTTCACAGCATCCAAGCAGCTTGGAAGCAGGTCACACCCGAGGAGCTTCCTTTCAATGGATTGCATGAGGGCTGTGCTCTGAGTCAGAGCGTGGCCTTCCACGGTAACCTGCTTACACCCGATCGACTGCTCACAGCAGATCCCATGATGGCGGTAACTACGTTGTGTCAGGTCAGATCATGGGGCGGTTATTCGGTGTTAACTGCCAACTCACTGAGCATCTTGGCCCAATGGAGTTCACACAAAACCTAATTATCACAGAAATAAACAAGGAACCTGGTGATGCAGTGGGTCAAGGGTCGGGCTGCTCATGGCAAGGCTGGCAGTACAACCCCTCCAACCATTCTTCAAGAGAAAGGAGGCTGGCAGCTCCTGTCAAGATTGACAGTCTCATAAACCAATGAAGCAGTTCTAATCTTTCCTAGTGGGTCCCTATGAGTTGGGATCCAGTGTATGGCATTGGGTGTTTTTTTTTTTTCTTTTGGTCTAAGAAGCAAACAGCTGCGACTGACCCCCAAGATGGTGGCAGACCGGTATCAGATTGAATGTGTGTTGCTGTGCAGAGTCCTGCCAAGAATGTTGCTCTTCAAAATTCCTGCCACTATCCATCTTCCTAGCTTCTGCGGGAAGAGCCCTAGTGGCATAGAGGTTCCGTGCTAGGCTGCCATCCTCAAGGCCAGCAGTTTGAAGCCACCAGCCACTCTGTCTGGAGAAAGACATGCTTCCTACTCCCATAAAGTTACAGTCTGGGAAACTCACAGGGGCAGTTCTACCCTGTCCTGGAGGATCGGCATTGACTCAATGGTAGTAAGAACATTCTGGGAGCCGGACGAACGGGATTGGGTTCATGTCAGGGTGCCGGGGAGCAAAACACATCAAAAGTGGCATTGCTCGTTGCTCGGCCACGCTCTCAGAGCACAGCACCGCTGTGTGTTTCTGACTCAGGTCCGAATAGGGATTTGCTTGCGATGCAATCACAGAACCATTTTGAACCGGTTCAAGGTTCTGCCTGAAACTCTTGCCCTAAGATATTTTTAAAACCTTAAACCCAAACTTATCACCCTGAAGTCTTCGTAAAGCCCAACAATAGTTTAGCTCAAGGTGTAGAAAGGATCTGTCTTGGGCAGTACACTTTTGAAGAACCAGCTATTTGGAATTCAAGTGCTAACAGCATCTCCAGCGAGTCGATAGGAACTTTAGGGGGGCGTTGTTTTAAGAAGGAGGAGCAACTCAGAAAGGGGGGTGAGGATGCCACACGATTCAAAGAATACCATTAATGTGGCTAAATTGTACGTGTGAAAACTCTGGGACTGGTGTATATTCTCCCCAACAACAACAAAATGTAAAGGAAAGAAAATCTGGTGACGCCACAGGCTCTTAATTTTTCCATCACCCACATAGGTGAAGAGGAGTGAGCTCGTGATGATTTCTGATGGCAGAACATTGACGAGTCGCTGTCTTTGGGGAATACGGAGGTCTATCAATGACAACATTAGTACCAGAGAAATAAATTCCCAGTAAGACGACAGCTCAGACTTTTCACAGTTCTTGACATAACTCTTTGAAAAACAAGTTGATGTTCAAGAAAACATACTCATTTCGTTGCTGTTGCAGATATTCTACACAAGTTTTTATTGCATGAGAGAATGAGACGGAATGTTCTCGTGACCTTTTCTCTCCCAAAAGACCTTCCTTAATACAGGAAAGCAGGGTGCACACGTTGGCTATCTCCTGGCTTGAATAGGTCCACCTGGTCAGAGTGGCGTGCTCTTATGGTGAGGGACTCAGGGGTCCAGCAAATAGGACTTCCATGCTCCCAAGCACCCAGGGGTCCCTCTGGAGTGTCTGTCTTGGCTGGGAGAAGGTGGAATGAGGAACTGTTTGGCCTTTGCGTTCAGGCATCCCTCTCCTATACCTTGGAGACTCCTGGAACTTCTGGGATCCAGTTCAGGTGGGAACAAATGTGGGAGCCTGTTGGGGGAGGCTGGGACATAAGCAGTGGGGCTCCCAACATGGTCTTTCTCCTTCAGGTTGTCCACAAGACCCCGACCTCACTGAAAGCCATACCTTTGAGGAACGGAGAAGCCCAGAGGTAAAGCAGAAAGGGTTAAAGGGCTCTGGGCAGACCCCCCCCCAGACTGAGGGGGGGGTGTCTCAGGGATAGGTTCTGCCTGGGAGGGGGTTGGCTGGGGCGCAGTGAAAGTAATAGATCTGTAAGACCCTCTCACCAGATGGCAGAGGGCACCACCAGTGAAGCCCTGCTGACACCACATAAAACGGGTTTCAGGAAACCAGGAAGTGAGCTCCACTGCAACCTAGTCAGCCCCTGGGGGGGGGGGGGGTGTCCTCCAGCTCCGAGGGCAAATGGCTCAGAAAGGGGGTTCCTCTTCTTTCCCAGGACCTGGCGCAATGGCGAGAGCAGAGCCCAGCAGAGCCCCAAACCCAGAAGCTCCGCAGACCACCATCGGGGAGTCTCCGAGGGCAAGAGCTGCCTCAGGGGGCCAAAGGGCCCCCAGGTGCCCCTAAGGGACTGACCTCAAGCGTGGGCCAGAGTCAGAGAGAGGGGGCGCCCCGGGATCCGACCAAGCGGCTCCTCCAGGGT